AGGAATGAAAGGACGAGAAGGAAGGAGGTGGAGGGCAGAGGGAGGAAAAACGGGTACTATGTCAATTACTTTCACATACAAACACTGTACTCTTTTCAGACGAAGGTCTCAAGGGCAAACTGAAACGCTATCCTACACTTAACCTGTCTCTCTTCATTATACAACAAAAGTGTCCACACACACACATACAAGGGGAGAGAGCGGTATCACACATCAACAATTAGGATGAATGGCATTTAGCTTCCAATTACATGGACCATAGAAACATAGAGAGCGGAGTCCAGGCCTTCTTACATCACTGCAGAGCCCACACATAACGTTTCTTATTATAAACTTCATATGAGCTCCAGAGTTTGGGAAGTTTGGTGCATTCAGTGACTTCATATAAACATGCTTTGTATTTCCTGTCAAAATAACTCAACCAAATGTTCACAAGCATGTGCACAGAGACGTTCGCCCACTTTATCCAGTCACTCCCTGCTTTTTGCTCTCCATTAATGGCTACGTAACTGTGAAACACTCATCTTCTGGGATCCCTTCATCCATCTCTCTGTGCAGATCGCATATCAGTCCCTCTGGTGTCTGAGCTTTGTTCTCCCTCTCTTTGAGTTCTTATGCACTTAACAGATGCTCCAGCCCCTGTCCTTCTTATCTGGGCCAAGTCTCAGTGTTTTGTCTCCTTTTAAATGCAACCCGCAGGGTGGAGTACAACAACTGGGTCTTCTACAAGAGAAATGGAAAGTATGAAAGCTGTACCTGGCAACTCGCTGTGCTATAACTGCTAACAAGCCACGCTGCGTGCAGCTCGGCTCGAGTATCAGGTAACACAATCAGAGAAACATTTGCTTCCTTCGTGAATTTGTTTGGCAAACTTAAAAACGCCTTTTCTATCTCGACATGCTCATTTAAATGTTTGCATATGTTAAATTCCGTGCGGCTACAGAATTTTAACTTGACTTTCTCGCCTAATACTGTTCTATGTGTTTGCACATGGCCAAGTCATGCATTGCTGCATGTAAACAACTGTGATGCATGCTTTCCTGCTAATATCGCCTTCTAAATCGGGAGTCCAGTTGTTCCAAAATAGCTCAGCTTGACAATGCAGTCACATTGTAGGATACCAATGTGTAGACAGAGTGAAAATTTTAATGTTGCTGGTCAACATTTTAGCTGCGAGTTGACTAAAAAAAATTTAAGACACATTTAAAATGAATTTAAGACCATTTAAATATTTTAAGGCTGTTTATTAGCAAATACGCATTTAAGATAAAAGCTTTATAAGGACTTGCAGCCACCCCGGCCAGATTTGACAATTACTCTGGCAAAGAAAACAATGAACTATCTTTTTAATGAGAGCCAGTTTAATATAGCATCTTGTTTATAGTATTGAGTTTTTGCTGACATTGATGTAAATGCGTAAATTTAATAATAGGCATTTAGTTTGTGCTTTGACAATAAGGACCTCCAAGTCTGAGGTCACAGTTCTCAGCTGGAAAGGGGTGGGATGCCCCAAGTGGGGTAATTTAAAGGGTCTTGTTCACTGAGGTGTGAGTGGAGCATGAGACTGGTATACTGGTGTGGTGTCAGCAGTGATGCTATATTAGTCTGTTGTGGTGAAGTAAGAGTTAGCTTGAAAGCAAAGCCGCTGCTCTACCAGTCGATCTACGTTCCTACTCTGACCTACGGCCCTAAGCTGTGGGTATCCACTGAAACTACGAGATGGCAGATACAAGGAGAAGGAAGTGAGCTTCCGCCAAAGGGTGGCTTGGCCCAGCCTTAAAGGTAGACTGTGGAGTTGGTAGTTAAGGAGGCGCTCAAACTGCAGCTGCTAATGCTCCACACAAAAAGGACCCAGTTGAGATTGTTCAGGCATCTGACTAGGATGCCTCCTGGATGCTTCTTGGTGAAGTGTTTTGGGCATGTGAGAGCAGGCCCCGGATTAGACCCAGGCCTGAAACTGCCTGCGTTGTCCCCCTTGAAAGAGCTAGAATAAACGTCAGGGAGACAGGGAAGTCTAGACATTTCAGCTTAGACTACTGTCCCACAACCTGGACCCAGATAAGAGGCAGAAGATGAATGGATGGATGGAAATTTTGTAAACTTTCAATTTACACAAATAGCAGAGGAAACAACACAAAAACACCTATGAATATAAAGCAGATAAGAGCATTATCTCTACTGCCCTCGGTGTTAAAACACATAACGGGGTAAAACAAATGGTACAAAAAGGACCCGTCTCAAGCTGAATGGAAGCATAACTATGATGTGGAAAATATTTGTAGGGACCCTCTCTCAGAAAAATGGGAAAAGTGCATCAGCCTTACTGCAAACATGGACATCATGTCTGTCTCCAGGTTAAAATGTGCATGCTTTCATTTGACAAATCTCAAATGTTTAAAAGGGAAATGTCATGCAAAGAAACAGTCGGTTCAAGGCGCTCAGTGTAAGAAAATTCTCAAGTGACAAAAGATTTATTGAAGTCTGAGAGTAACAGTCTAGCAAAACTACCAGTGACTCAGACTGCTGATAAAGCTCCAAGAACATTTTTTCCCATACATCTGCTGAATCTGCTCCCTCCTGTTTTACCTGGGTGGACAGTTACTCTGGTTCAGTTTTTTTCCTGTTCCAAGTTTCCAAACGTTTCACCAAAGAGCAAGCCAGGACCAGATGTGCAAACTCTCTGATGACATATAATTGTGCAAAGTTAATGGCTAAAAATCTGAAATCTAATTACTTCATTTTACTGCTGCTGGTTAGACAAGACTGTTGGTCTGAGGGAGGTCTGTGAAGGAAGACACAGGAAAAAGAAGAGGTGGTTTTTGCAAACACCCTCTGGCTAAACATGATGTAGGCTTATTCTTGAGATTAAAGTTAAGTCTTGACATTTTCAGACAAGCCTCAAGAGGAAATGATGGAAAAAGAAAGGTTAGCAGGGAAATGTGTATAACTCCTGCTTTAAAAAGAAAATAAACAGCAAGTTTATCATCTCTTACCCATGACACCACTCTGCCGTTGAAACATGGCAACTTGGCACTGTCGTCTGAAATCTCTTCCTTCACCACCCTGAAGAACAGAGACACACAGGGAGGTTCAGTAGGTTTGAACGGTTCTGGTTTTCTGACATCATGATAAGTGTGATCTGTATGGTACACTGCAGTGGAGAAAAGAGGGCTGAAAACGACATTAAGTCATAGATGGAAAAAGTGAAAGTGCGGAGGGGAATTAAACAGTTTACATTACCGACACATTACATGAAATATATGAGCCCGTGACAACAACACAGCTGCACCAAATCAAAGTGCCAGGGTTAACTCAAAACCCATCTGGGTAAATCATCAGCTTACAGCCACATCAATGCAGCTGCAGTCGATCACACTCATATTAAAACTGATTTCACTGAAAAACTGGACGGCTGGGAGGAGGATCGCATTCGGCCAAACCTGAGGAACATTTTCTAAAGAAACAAAAAGGATAATGAGCTTAAAGGCTTTTGTTTTGTGTTTTTGGTGGGTGGCTACATAGGCCAGTCAGATTACTTGCTATGAAGAGTAAAGGCAATAGAGATAAGAAGGGGTTCAATTCATGGTTGAACAGAACCTCTCTGGGAGGTACAAAAAATTCCTTTATATAAGAAAAACTTGGTTTAAGGATAAAATAAGTTACATGTTTTTGATTATAATAGGGAATTGATTGTATAACACATCCAAGTATCTTAGCAACACTACCAAACTAGGGGCTGGCAAAAAACACCCCTGAAGTGTGACGACAGCAGAAGAAAGAAACTAGTGTGACCCAGTCGAGTCTCTCAAAAATATCTCTGAAATGAAATGAAACGAAACAAGGGCACAGAAATTGTATTAAAAATGTTTTGGATTCAGTCAGCAGAGGTAGAGGAAACCTTGCCTAGGACTGGCTTTTTTAGCATTTGTAGTCACACACCAGGGCTTATCTAATTGTTGGGGTTCTCTCTGTAACAATGTACCATCTTAATCCTGCAATAACCCTGCAAGTATCTTTGAGCGATTGCTGTTGTGAACTGGGACTATATAACTAAACCTGAACTGAATTATACTGGCTCTTTACTGGATAGGCTATTAGGGGAGGATGATCTTTACAGTAAAGCTGATGAGCCTCTGTTACTTCCTCTGGCACAAATCCATCACCTTTCTTGTTCTTTCGGACTATTGTATTAACAAAATTGCACTTATTCTTAAAGTGTGAATGCGACTTCCACAGTGTTGGCGAGGTGTTGATTGTTCAGTCATTTTGCAAATATCTTAGTTGTACACAAAGGAGAGCCAAAACAGTCAGTCTCCTTCCTGCCCTCAGATTCCTTGAATGTAGATCAAGTTGATCTAAATGTAATGTAGCAGTATTGTAAGAGGTTTAAATGAATATTAAAGCAACATTTAACTAATTTAGCTTCAGTTAGCCCCCATTAAAAGTAAACTCCACACCAGTATAAGTACAAGCTTATCACTGGGATCCTGCTTCTAATCTTATTTCCAAAATACCACCCAAGTCATGGAGCCATGAAGCAGCACACTAACAACAAACATCACAAAACTGCTTCACAGACACTGTGGAATTTCTTCTTTTACCACAATGAGCTAAAACACATTGAGCCTACTTGTGAATTACACAACCCGGTCAACTAAATCTGCATGCAAAGCCATTACAGATAACAGCAGCTACTTAACATTAATAGCCAACATGGTCTAAATTCTTTAAAGACAACACATCCGTCTGGCAGTTTTCCCCTCCTCCATCTAAGACTTCCATGTTTACAGAGAGGCAAACACTTGGCTTCAGCTACAGTAGTTCCAAGAGACCGAGCTGGGCGTAAGTGCTACATAGAGGACACTTGGCTGTTCAAGCGTCTCCAAAAGTCTCCTTTTTCCAGCTTCACATGCCAGCGTACCTCCTCTTAAGTGTGTGAGACTTGGTCAGGCTCCACTGGGCTTTTGTAAGCAGCTGTTGAGAGCTGGTTTTGTGGGTGCATGCTAGCATACAGCCGGATTGTAGTGGGCACTATTGAGGATCTGCTGCAGGTTTTGAGAGCCCTGTCTATGTGGCTACTGACGTAGCTAACAATTTTTTTTTTCCTATCCATTACGCTTTTTCAGCACAAATCTGCACCTAGACGGCAGATGGACAGATGCACAAATTGTCTGCAGAGTGTAAGATTGTCGTCATTCCTCTGTCCCCCAAACAAACAAGAGACCACAGTCGAAAGTCATTTCACTCACATACTGAAATGCCTCGAATACAATGCATAAACAACTCTGAAATATGCAGAGTCCTGTTGGATTAACTTAAACTTTTCCCTGCCGACTACCATTCTTCAAGTCCCTTGCTACCCTTAAATTCCTCACTCTCAACACGGCATTGCTGTTCTAACAATTAATCTTACTCAAACAGCTCCCTGATCCCTTCTCAGCGCACATGTATACAGCAGAATATCCAGTGACTCTAAGTGAACACCACCCTGTTCCTTCTCTCCCTTTCTTCTCCCCATAGACACCCCAGACACCCAGCAAATGGCCCCTGTCCAGGTCCAGGTTCCTAGCACCAGCCCTGGCCTGCTCTGCCACACACACAGATCTCCTCGACAGCTGGCCTCAACCCAGGACAAATGAAAACACACACTATTACACACTCCTCTCCTGGTTAAGAGAGAGCAGGGGGAAGAGAGGGGGAGAAAAAGTCCCTGCTTTGATTGGACAGCTGACTCAGAGCTATGTTTGAAATTTTTCATCTGAACTCAGTTGGAGATATTCAAATGAGAGAGCATGATGCCAGACAGTGCAATTTAACTTAAAGACAGGCCATACAGTCTTTGAGAGTTTCCAGAGGGTGGCTCGTTTGAGACGTTTAACATTTAGTACTCGCACACAAGCACACGGGGTCTAAACATAATCATGTGTTACCCAGTTACACAGGGACAAGCTCATAATCTGACAGTTAACTTACAAAGTCTAGTAAAGGTAACATAATAAACCGACACGCTGATTGAAAAGCTCGCCAATTATCTTACTGTGCACATGACAGCTGCACACACACACGCACTCTTTGGGACATTAGACTAAAACTAATACAACAGACCTCCAAAAAGTCTGGAAAGTTTCCTTTTTGTTAAAGTTTCAAACTTCATGTTGGTAGCGTCAGTTTGTGGTGCTTTTGAAAGGAAATTCAATAGAAAATAAACAGTCAGTGAGCAGAGTATCAAGTAACATGTTTTCTTCATGTTACATGTAATAAACAGTAAATGATTATATTAGTATATATATATATATATATATATGGAAGATATTTGAAAGCATCACCTTAATGGTGAAGTCTCTTTTTCTTGCAGTTATTTGACCTATTTAATTGATTTTTATTTCAATCTTGTGTATTTTTATCATTTAGTTCCAATGTACACCACTTTGTGTTAGTTTTAGTTCTTTTAAACTGTTTTATTAAAAAAAAGATGCTATTGTATGGTATGCTTAGGTGATTGATCCCAAATCCTAAGGCGCTATATAAATACAGGCCATTTACCATTTAAATATGGGTTTCAAATACGTAGGCCAAACATGGCCACCATTGTGTACGTACTAGTGACAGACAACTTGTCTAAAAACCTATGCCATAAACTGCCACACATCTCCCTAGAAATGTAAGTACACATCGTCGTCTGTGCAGCTCCTACGGGTATAAATGCAGACAACAGTGTTTGGCACTTGCTTGGGCTCTACATTACTAGATTTGCTGCAGAAGCAGAATTCAGACTTTTAAATCTGAGCTCACTCATACAACAGCAGGTTGCCAAACACAAGAAAGCCCCACCATAATGCTGTGTTAGAGATTTGTATGAAAGTCCAGATTTCCAAGTTCTCAGCTGGAACGTACCCCTCAACTTGAATTTCCTACTTAGAAAAACGAAGCAGTCCCATAAACCCCGAGGTTACTATCCAAAATGGTACTGGTAATGGTAAAGAGTATAAAAACTACAACTTCTGTACATTTGTGACTCACTAAATAAGCCATATGTAGAGCACAGGCCAGGCTCCAGCCACGAATGTGCTGCAGCGTTGTTTTTAAGTGCAGAAAAACAAACACTATACTGCATTACTAGTGCTACACCACTGGCTCTACCTTAATCAAGAGCAAAACAAATCCTGTTTTTCCTCTCTTTTACAACGTTCCCACTAAACACTCTAATTCTGGAGTGACATCACTTTGTTCACTTCTATGCAAGCAGACTTATTTTCACAACCAGAAGAGTCGCCCCCTTCTGTTTATTACAAGGTACTTCCACATCAGCGTCACTTTTCAGAATTGAAAATCATGCCCATCCATCCAAAAACTATCCATCTTTTATATACTGTCTAGGCTCAACGCTATGATGTAAACAGCTCGACTACATTAGGTAAACTGCAACTTCCAATTTTTATTTATTTATATTTTTTGGGGGGGGGGTTGCAGGCACTGGTTAGACCAGATGCACAGTATTTTTAAACAGATCTGATATTGATGTTGCTTCTGTTGACAGCTAACAGTGGCCCACCAGCTTTGTCAAAGCCCAGTGAAAAGCCAAAAAATCCACCTCATCTCCGGGTTGATATTAGGGCTGGCTTGGCACAGGCTCCCCTGGTGCCATCCAAACGGAGTAAAAGAGGCAAATAGCCCAGACCAAATCTTCATCCAAGACTACAATGTATTTAACAGAAACCCTAAGGGTCTCTCGCTGTGTGAATAAACCACAAACATGCATTCCTCTGCGCGAAAACACACAGCAAGATTGAATTGATAGAGGCGAGGAGACGGCTCTTTCTAAGGAAGTTTAGGTTTTGTGTGTGTCTGTGTGTGTGTGTGAGGAATTGGGGGAATGAACGGATGGCTGGGAGGCCATAGTGTTAAAGAGGGGAGACAAAACCCGAAAGAAAGAAAAGGCGAGGATTTCAGCAGATGATGGACTGAAGGAGGGAGGGAGGCATGAGGATTAGGGCAAAGAAAAGCAGCAGGGGCAGGGAATGCCTCCCATTGTAATGATGATGTTTTCTGAGAAAAGTCCCAGCCGACACAGCTACCTCTGGTATTTGAATATTCATCACCACTCATTACAACTTTCTGATTAAGGCCGGGCTTGGGGGACTGGGGTCCAGACAGGCTGGCTTCATGCATGTTCACCCTCCCTCGAACCATAAGTTACCCCCAGCGACAAATATACCACAACTGCTCACAAGATGGGATAGAGTGGTTTTAGAGATACAAACAGCATTTTCTCCCACAACTATGTACGCACGTTAGCTCTGGGAAGTCACTCCTCCGATCAGAAAATCCAAGCACAACAAAAGGGGGGCTGCTTTCCAAAATTTCTGTGCCTACATTCACGTTTGCATGATGGATCTCCTTATTTTGCATGCAAAGCTCACAGCTCTCCTTCTACTAGAGACAGAGAGAGGGGAAGGAAAGAAATCACTGCAGCTCACCCGAAGTCTTGGTCCATAGACTTGAAGAAGAACTTGTAGTTTGGCTTGTTCAGGACCTGTTTAAAATCCAGTAAAGTGATATTTTCGGCAGCGATGGGAATCTTCACCAAATACGGCGTCTCCTCCTCGTCGATATGATAAATTATTTTGGTTTCCGCCATCTCTACGTTTGCGGTTTCTTTTTTCTTCTTCTTTTCCTGCCGACCTGGAAGTTTCCGAAAGAAATACACACACACCGTGAGGCGAGGTAGCGATAACTTTGTGGGGCAGTTAGCTGGCGGCGGAGCTAGCTTAGGTGGCTAACGAGACGGCAGAGGTGAAACGATGAGGGCCACCGAGATTTTCGGTCCGAGCCGGAGGACGTAGGGAGGAAAAACCCTGCTCGAAGCTCGACTTCCCTGGAGTAAAAACTCGCATTCCCACTGTTACCGAGAGGCGAGGGAAAAAATACGGGGAAGCTACATTCACACGACCTAACTCCCAACAACTTTTCCCCCAACAAAAACATACAGGGGAGGGGGGGTCTGAAAACTTTTCACCACTTGTTGCGAGCCAACGCGGCGTGTGACGTAAAGACGTACCCCCTTCTTTTCTTTTTTTTACGTACCCTTCCGAACCAGACACCCCCCCGACCTTGTAGTATTAGTATTCTTGCATACATAAATAAAGCGTCTCTAATGGTATTTTATACTATATATTCACAGCCTGTTCACGTTCATATATTTTTCTGAATGTTTCTTTTAATACTTTTTTTGTTTTTTAGTCTAACATTTTAATAATGAGCTTTTATTTCCATCAGTTGGTTAAATAGTATGGAGCATTAAACTTCAAGACTGTAAATGATAAATGGACTGGTGCTTAAATAGCGCCTATCTACTCAGGTTAAACACTCAAAAGGCTTTCTTACTGCGAGCCTTCATTCACCCAGTCACACACATTCATAAAGTGCTTTTATATGTCCATAAGCACCATTTTCTCTAACATTAACACCACTCCGATGGATGCAAAAGGGTAACGAAGGTTTCAGTACCTTGACACTTGAACTGGTGGTTTTGTGCCAGAAAGTGATTTCCCATGTTTCTGTGTGTTTTTGTGTCTAAAATCGTTATTTAAGTTGGTACATAGACTATAGTGAACTGGGTTTATGAAAGGGTTATATATAAAATAAAGAAATTACCTATTTTGCAAGTGTCTTCATGAATCTGCGTTATTGTGTCTACATTATAATGAATCCAGACCTTTTTGGCCACAAGAACTATCTTTATAGAATTGTGATCTTGAAAATGACATTTTTAATGTCAATGAGACTTTGCATCCGGATAAATAAAAGCTATATAACAGTAACTCTGCCAAAAACTGACTGCAGCTTATTTTAGCCTTTTAGTGACAGGAACGTTCTTTCTGAGTCAAAATGCCATGACATCATTCATGAGAGACATCTTTGACATTTCTTTGGCAAATTATAGGCCAATAAGTCATTTATAATAGTTTAAAATTTAAAATAACTTTTTGGAAAATATCTAAAATCACTTATTGGTAATTGCTCTGTTTTTTGACCCTCTGATTCGTTGCTGACCCACACCTGAGCTACAGGTACCCTTGAAATGAACTGAAACCTGGACACTGGGTGACAAAAGGCACTAATGGGACAAACTGCATGTTTAATTGGGTGTCAATGTCAAACAGAAGAATACAGTGCTTAGGGTGAGCTTTTTATTAACACAGAGCATATTTCATGTTTCAAATGAGCTAAAACTAGAAATTAATAATTAATATCAGCACAATGTTTGGGTTAAAAAGAAACTCATGTGTACTCATGTTTTTATTCATTGCTAATCATCTTCTTGCAGCTATCTCCTCCTCTGTCCCACCAACCCTCTACATGCCCTCCTTCAATACATCATTTTCCTTCCTTTAATAATTACAACTTCACAAAACATAATACCAACATATTAAGCACAGAGAAATCATATCACTTACCATGAAAGTTATTCTAAATATCCATAATGGGGCAGATGTGTTCATCCAAGAAAAACAGTTATAACTGTGTACTGAAGTTTCTGTGTGAGGTACGGTTCAAACTTTTGTATGCTCAATTACGTTTGCTGTAGTTTACATCACAGGTGAGAGAAATGAGTGCACACTGATGAAATAAATACATGTGCGTTCTCAAGTAGATTATTAAAGTTAGGCCACTTTCACTGATTTCCAAACATGTGCACACCCTGCACAAAGTAAAGGACTGATATAAGGACTGAGGGCCTCATTTAATTTATTCTTTGGCAGCAGAGTCAGCCGCTGCAAAATGATATTATCAAACATAATAAGCATGATGAGAACGATTAAAGAAACCTTAGGGTTTGGTTGTTTCCCTATTAACCACTAGGGGGCACGCTTTATCAAGCTATCACTGATTAAAAATCTGTACTTAAGGCATTCAGTAAGGACACATTTAAGGATTGGACTCTAGTGTAGTAGTTTGCATGTGAACGGTCACCAGTTCAAGATCAGGAGGAGACACAAACTCCTTTGGAGTTGTGTCAGGAAGGGTATCCACTGTAACACAAAAAAAGTCTACCAAATCCCATATGCAGAGCTGTCTTCTGGAGCAACCCCTTTTGAATAAAGGAGCAGCTCTAATAAGTAAAAACGTAATTTGATTACAGGGTGAATGCTAAGTACACTTAAAAAAAACACGTTAATAGAAAAAGACTGGCAAACAATTTCTGTAACTCTAAAATTTCCTGTTCAGGAAATGTGGCCCAAACACCACCCCGAACACACAAGTGATCACAAACAGCACCCAGAAGATGACAGCCAGGATCTGTACACAAAACAGCGTCTTCCTGCTCTGCTGTATGATCTCCTCTTCGCCCACCAGGCCAGGCGCTGTGCCATAAGGGGTTTCGGGGTGCATCTGCTGCACCCGCAGGCTGACGGTGGGTAAGATGATGAAGCGGGTGTCCCTGTTGCTGTTGCCCTCCATGGAGAGCACCACTCTCTGGGTGACTGTAGCCATCCGCGAGGTCACAGTCATGGGCAGGTGGAAGGCCCCGGGGGGCAGCCTGGACAGGATGCGGGAGTTGCAGGGTAAGGTGAGGGCATCCCCGGTTTCCAGTGGGGTCAGATGGCGGCAGAGAGGGCAAGGAACGGCTTGTGGGCTGTGGGCGTCAGGGGGGCAGAGCTGGATCCTCTGGAGGCACTCAGTGCAAAAAACGTGGAGACACTCCAACATCCGGGGGCATTTGTTGTAGCAGTTGTACTCCTGGTAGCAGATGGGGCATTCCACATCCATGGGTTCCCCTGGACCGGAGCCACGGCTGGGCACGGAAGCAGCAGCGGGATCCCCCTTCTGCGGCACTGGGGCAACATGCCCTGACATGGTGTGGGAGTGGGTGGATGTAGAAGAACTGGCGAGAGGCAAGTCGGGGATGAGTTTTTAGCTAAAGATGTTAAACTCTGTAGAGAGAAAACATGATCAACATAAACCTCATGTCGACTTTCCGTGAGACAGAAACATCAGGATCTGCTCCCCCAAAGATCCTTTGTTTCTTTAACTTTCGTGAACAGATTCCACGGTCCATGAGTCATAGCATTCATCCGTTTAACCGCTCACACATCCACCATCCACCACCCCCCTCACTTACTCACAATCACCTTTGCCCTTGAGTGCGTGCTAGATAGCACAGACACACACACACAGTCAGAGAAAAATATACAAAATAGTCGGGAAAGGAAGTAATCAGTCACTCTAAGATTTCTCCATTTGTGGGTGTGTGTGTTTGTCAGAGCACGTCGTCTTTTCCCAGCTCAGGCTTGTTCCACTTCAGTCATTCAAAGCAGCTGTTTTTTTTTTTTTAATTAAGAAAACATAAGAAATGTTGGTATCAAAATTACTGTATTTGGAGGCACTTAGGGGAAGCGGTTTGTGTTGCAAACAGATTGCGTGTACCGAGCCAGAAGTCATTATTTATTTACTGAGTGATGTCATACTGAACTCAGGGTGATGTAAGACCCAGCGTTTTTGTTGGGCTGGCATTTACCGGCTTTCGTCTACTTCATGGAAGTGTAATTTTAAATCAACTAAGTGGATCTCTAACACAAAGACTCTTTTCAAAAGGTGTGTTGAATTGACACAGCAGCCCAGCATTTTAACACCGTGTGTTAGAGTCAAATAAAATCTTTATGGGAAGAAGACTTTTTGGGAAATGCCCTGCTTTGCTTTCCTGTCATTAGATGTGAAGATTGATAAGGTTGTCTGCAATGAGAAGCTGCTGCCAGAAGTCAAATTCAGGGAAACTGTTATGCTCATTTCCACAGTTTCTGATTCTTGGATTCTACTACAGTAGCTTTGCATAATTTATATTTTAAATAATGCTTTTTTTCTTATACTTAAGTTCATCCTGTGACAAAAACAACCCATTTTTAGTGCCTCTCTCTTTAAGGTAACTTTCTTGTAATTGGTTGTTTGTAATACACAGAAGGTTTGAACAGCATCTGCTGTAGATAGTTTTTTTTAGACCTGCTGCTTCTTCTTTTGCCCAGTTTCCTCAGATTTTTTGAGGACACACTGCACACCATGCTGAAATATGCAAAGCTTTGGGCTGATAGGTCTTTGAGACTCACTCACAAAAACACGCCATTTTATGTTTTAAGTTTTCTGTTATGTGTAGACACAAAAACCGTTCATCCCTCGAGTTAGATACGTTTTAGACTTGAGTGGTTCACAGGTGAGTGTTAAGAGGTTAATACAAAACCACTCCTCTGGAAATGGTCAGGTATAAGGACTGGACTGAACATGACCTTTGGAAATTGTGGAGAAATACTGCTCAAGTCAACTTTAAAAATTACAAGAACTCTGGCTCCTTGGTATCAAAATGTAAAGCAATCATGGCACAGTCAAGACTTTCCCACGGCACTGTATATACCATAAAAACGATACAAGGAAATACACAATACTTTACTTTAAGGCGTAAGACCTTTTGGTCAGACACACTGACAGTCTGTAACATTTGTTGATGTCATTTGATCTGTGATTTATGAAAGGAATCAGTAGAATTGTGTAGCTTTACTGGCGCTTTGCTTTTCTATATTTGTGTCTCGCACGGGACAATGACGAGGCAAGCCACACACACTCAGTGGGGGACTGTTGCTTAGCACACCGGGTCCCCTTTGAATCGGTCCATGGCAACCTGAAAGCCTTTCTTCAATAAGTCATCAGCACATTCATGCAATGAGAACAGAAAGTCGACTTTTAGAGCCAAACTAAGCATTTTAGTGAATGAAAGCGACCTGTGGAAGACAGCTATGCATACTTAAGTGAACTCTTTTGTAGGCCAGCGGGCCTGCTGAGACTGTACACAGAGTAACACACAGCGCTCCATCATCACAAACGTAAAAGAGATCAGAGAGTCACTTACCCACTGCGCTCCGCTTCCCACTCATCCAAGGAACCTTTGTTTCCCACCTACAACACCGGCGCCTTCTTCTTCACAGGCACACGCAGTTTCTCTCATGTCGGTACAGATCTGTTCTCGTTACGGTGCACATTAATCAGGCGAGTTTATAATGTCTGAGCTCAGCTGACTGGCAGCCTTTTGTTTTCGCTCAGTCTCACCTGATTTTATCCGTCTGGTCCCCAGTGAGGCACCTGTGTGGCTCGCTGAGCAGTAATTAAACCCTCAGTGATGTAAAGGTAACCAGGACACAAAAGACAGAAAATGACAGATTGGTGTCTCTCGATCATGACTTGCACTACTCCGCTTGCGTATCATGTTATTATGCTTCCACACAGTCAGCATGTTGGGATTTTAAAATAGAAAGTAGGGCTTAGGCTGAAATTATTAAACATCCTTGCAGTTTATACATAGCATACATGTTCAGATTCCTTGATTCATTCAGTGGCCACCTCTCATGCTCTTCAAATGGAGAAACTGATCATCATAGAGGTTTCCTCACATACAGAGAAACTTTGGTATCGGTTTGGAAGGTGTATAGTTTTTACACCTTTGTAATTAATACAGCGATATAAACACGTGAGATGCAGGCTCCATGCAAAGACCATCACTGGTTTTTAATTGACGGCTGGTTCCTTTCTCTTTAGCATTACTGAGATCCTGCTGACCAGCTCAGAAACCTGAAACAGCTCAGGTGGAGAATTTTCACAGTAGACAGTTTAACTTGTAACTTTAGGAAAATCACATCGAAAAATCTTAACTGTTGATCTTAAAGTGTTTTTTCACTCATTTTACACACCCATGTTGATCTAAGTGATCTGACCTACTATTTAGTTTATTGTTATATTACTTTGAAGGTACCTGTTCCCTTAGCTTTGCTTACCGGGAATAAAGTGTGTGCTGCTGTTTCCTGTATATGACAAATAAAACTGTAAACTTGTACTGAAGCGTAAACAGCAAGTGAAACCGACATGTAACCCACCTGAGGTCTGTCCCTTGTGTTCGTTGGCGTTGGCGTAGTTTGTTTGTATCACACATGCTGTGTTTAAAGGTTGGTTGTGCAAGATTCAGAAAGCCCTTAAAATTATTGATACACGCCCTACTTCTCAAGTAGACATGAGCAAACCAGTTAGAGCCCATTTTGCCTTTATATCTGCCTGGTTGTAGATCAGGAGGTAGACCAGGCCTACTATTCAGAAGGCAGGTGGTTCGATCCCTGGCAGCTCCAGTTTACATGGCAGGCGTATGCCTACATATATCGAGTTGCTGCGATGTGACTGACTAATTGGATATTTGCATCAGTGAGCATCACTCCTGGTTAGGTTTGTTGACTTGAAACATTAGTCGTAACATTTCAGTATAAGTTCTGTGTGTCTGTAGTTAAACAGGTGAAAATTGGTTCATGTATATACCCATTACAAAAAACCCAAACACCCCTTTTCTAAAAAAAACAAAAACGAAATACTTCACAGGATATGATCCCATTTTCCTTTGAGTATTAAGAAAGAGACCTGGTGCTTTACATAATTATACCCTGTACAGTAAGATCAATGCAGGGGGAAAAAGTGGGAAGGCGTAAAAAGAACAGAGAGAACAAAAGACTCTACAACTCACACAGGAGACACACAAACGGAGAGAACAGGAGAGGTTCTGGCTTTGTGATTTTTGGCCGAGACTGTGGCACAGCGGAAATCACCATGAAAGGAGTTAGGGCTGGATTATCTGATAGGAGGAGTTTTATTTGGGGGATTACTGTGGAGAGGGAAGAGCCGACGTCACCCACGCATATACACACATACACAACCTCAGTGTTTGTGAAAGTGAAGTGTGTGTTTGTATGTAGTGTGTAGAGGCAGATAAGAAGGAAAAGCCTAGTCTAATATGTGAAAGACATTTCTCTGATCTCTGAAGATAACTATTAGAAATGTCTACACAGCTTGACTTGTTGTGTCTTGCCCTCCTGCCTGTCATGTACTGCACAGTGATAGAGGAGTGTGTGAGAGATAAGGAGGAATGAAAACAAACTCTGTATGTTTAATGTGGATATTCTGTGTAGATACACACTTGTTACTGTGTTACTGTAGCTGGGTGTGCGTGTCTGTGTGTTTTGGAACCACTTCTCATGGCGTCATTGTCGGCAGTATCGTTACATCACGTGGGGCTTGTGACTCATCGGCCGTGTTTAGTTGGGTCTGAAAGGTTAGGTTTCCGACAGGACGTCCACGCCCCGCCTCTCTAAAGTTTGAATAAAGCTGAGAGCGACTCGCCTTTTGACTCATTCAAACTTTAAGGACGAAACGCCAGCATCAGAAAACGACATGTGCGCAGAGGAACTCGAGTGCGGGGTTTGTTACCAGATCTACAACGCGGGTCGGCGGTGTCCCCGGGAGCTCCAGTGCAAGCACAGCTTCTGCGAGAGCTGCCTCTTGGCCCTGTCCAGGCCCCTGGGACCCGGAGATGCGCATCCGGAGGCTGGCAGGTTGATCGTATGCCCGCTGTGCCGACACATCACATCCATCTCCGATCATGGGAAGATCCGAGCCGAGCTGAGGGTGGACGAGAGCGCACTGGAGCGGCTGACGGCTGCGGGACTCCTCAACGAGCCCGAGGTGGACGATCAGGTTCAAGGGGACGAGGAGGAAGCGACAGCTCCCGAGACTCCAGCCGAGGAGAGCGAGTCTTCCGCGGGCACAGGAGGCGGGAGACTCCGGCGGTCTTTGAAGAAAGTTTGGCAGGCGATAAACGGCAAGGGCCAGCAGAGAAGAGAAGGTAAGAGAGACCCTGATTGTGGTTTATGATACTTTCACTGGCAGATTTATCCTCGATTAAGTATCAGCGAAACCAGACTGTCAAAATATCATCTAAAAATCTCAAGTTTGTGTCCATTTAGTGATTTTATTCTGAAATCTTAAGGAAAAAAACTTCACATGAATAATCCAACAGCTATAGGAACTAAAAGGAAAATAATAGCCAACTTTTTATTTTAAGTAAATGATTAGTGCTGTAAAGAGATGCAAACTTAGTCACACTATAGTTTGGTTTGATCACACTTTTGTAAGAACTGGCATGTGTATCCATTCAATAACAACATTCTTTAACTTTAGGGAGGTTTCCATTGAATTAAGTTGTTCATTGTTTTCTAATGTGCTCTCTCTTTCTTTCAGAAGACTGTATGACCAGTGAAGACCTGAGGGCCCTCGCCATGATGTCCTGCCACATGTTTTGAGCAGCCCCATATGGCCCCAGAGTAATGCAGTATGAGTGACGAATCATCTTAAAATGGACTTGATGGCGATGATGATAAAGCCATGTGGACACTGTGAATGTTTTGATTCCTTGTTTGGCCGCTGTGTAGCCAAATGTGATGCCAAAGCAGCCTTTTCAGCCCCACTTATGTACAGATGCAACTGTTTTGATATTTATTGTTTTTTTTTATTTGTTTTTATGAAAGTATTTAATATTTAAAAAAATAAACACATTTTTTTAAAAACACAGTTTGAAGCTTTCTGTGGATTTTTAGTGATTTGCCTTTTGATAAAAAACAAAACAAAGTTTGAATTTATTATTGTCATAATTAAAAGCTGATAAGTAAATTGAAGGGGAAATGTACGGCCTTTCAAAGGAAAGAGGAGTGTAGACAAAAAAGGAAAGTTAATGTTTTACATAAAATTCACTGAAGTCAGAAAAACAACAAATAGCCCTTTGCTCACAGCTCCAGGAAGTTGGTCACCTGAGGCCAGGTGAACTGTATTGCCTCCAATCAGACTGACAAGCACCAGCAGAGCTGCAAGATCCCCTACATGGTTCAAGTAAAAGATACCGACTAACGGCGCTGCTGCAGCTTTTACTAGTCGTATAAACCTGGAAAAAAAGTTGCTGATCATGTTCGGCAACTTTGCTCCTCACCCGAGGTAAACGGTACACAGTATTTTGTGGGGTTTTTTTGCACATGCAGATAAAACATCTGAAAAGCACTAGCAATTATTTGTGACGACAGTTCAGTTCTATCTATCTACATTTGGGTGTATTTTTATCTCTCCAGAGTCCTTGTGTTTGTGCCGATCTGTGCAGCCATCGTGCTGTTTATTGTGTGCCCAGATTCTGCGAGAGGTGAGCCCAAGCATGCTCATCCTAATGGCTGTTGTGGGGTTTTGCTGTGCATGTGTTAGCTGGAGAGTCATAGTATTTATTTCAACAAAGCTGATGGTGTTAATGATGGCAGAACGCACTTTTATCAGGGATGTCACAAACAGTTTCCAGGTCATTTAGATAAGGATCTTATTTTAATAAGATCAATTTGATTCCATTTTTTAAATTTATAAAGTATCAACAACAACTGTCCCCTCAAGTCACTTTAAATTGCAAAAGTAAAAATCCTGCAATAGTAGAGAGAAGATTGTTGGGGTTTTCAGACAGGGGGTGGGGGGCAGCCATCTGGCGTGAGGGAAGAAAATAAACATTTCATCTTCAGTAACAGTAATCTTACATCATATAAGGGAAGATTATGAAATACAAGTGTTACAGTCAGGAATCTCTTTTTAATCTAAGATGCCAGAGAATTTTGCATGACTCACAAGTCACAGGACCATGGTGCAGACTGCCAAGTTCATCCACTTTCTGAAGCTGAGCGCCCTCTAAAGACTAACTTTCTTCTGACTTGATTCCTCTTGCAAACAGAAGGGTTGAATAGCAGATGATAGCATAGCAGCAGATGATCTCACCGGCACAAACTCTATAAACGCCAAACAATTTAATTTGAATCGGTGGATTTAGCTAATGTTTATTTATTAAATATAGTGGCGCAAACATGATTCATTTAATAATTATGAAAAAACATTTGCAGTAACAAGACTGCTTAGCTTCCCATCTTTAATTCTGCGGTGTTGTGTTCAGTGTTTCAGTTCTGTTGTGTTTAGATTGTTCTTCCTGTGGATGTTTGACTGTTTCCAGAGCAAAGATTTTAACAGGTCACCGTGACTTAGACTCCTCTAGAAAATAATAACTTGCTGTAAGTGTCGTAGTTAAGATGTCAGTTAAATCAAATTGGTTCTATATAAAACTAAGGTTATATAAAATGTATTCAGTTTAATATCCTGTGAAGCTCTCATTTTTGGTACATGGGGTGAAAAGTTTGCATAACACTGTTCTTTTTATTACATTTTTAAATATAAGTAAACAAACGAAAGCAAAAAAAGAAACTATGTCAAAGAGATGAGATGCTGCTTTTCCAGATTCACAACCTCTGAGATTTCCACATAGAAATGTAGTGATGATCCTTGCCAATCCACTTCACCATGGCTTTCCTTGCTAGCATTAAAAGAGAGGGTAGGATATCATCAGCATACAATAAAACTTTGTTGTTTCGTACCAGTTGTAATTCCTTGAATATCTGGGTGTTTGCCTGAAATTTTAACAGTGTAATGAGGGGGGAAAGCTTGAAACTGAGAATCGACAGCAGCCTGAAACCAGAGCTTCCAAAGGGATTACTTGTAGATACAATGTCGTCATTATGTGAAACTTTGGCAATCATGTAGGTCATCAGACCTCTTTCAAGAAGACATAACACGGGCTTTAAACCTGCTAGAGTTATCAGTCATCCAATTGCCAGGCTATATGATATGTAAAATATTTTAGTTTATAATTTGCTATCTGTTTTCACTTTCAGCCAGTTACACAGCAACTCAGAAGCACAATGGAGCGACGTACAACGCCTGGAGACAACTTTACACTCCGTATAGGCAACATCGTCCCGCCTCTACTGGTCTGCTGTCAACAGAAACTGGACTTCACACTGGAACTGATGACGAAACTAAGACGCGTGGAAATTATAGAGGGACTCCGTCAATCATTGATCAGCAATCAAAACCTTTACAGGTTACACAAGGTATTTACAGTGACGGTCAAAACAGCCCAGCAAGCAGGCAGTCTCGAGTGAGAATAATAAAAGTGCAGAGAGGCCATAGAACAGCTGGAGCGAGGCCGGCAAGCAGCTTTTTAACTAGCAGATCCTCTCCCCAGCACGGAGGGCAAAGTGCAGAGAGATGGAGGTCCAAAGGGAATGACCCCACGCTCACTCAGAAAGAAGCCCTAATTGGAAATTTTCATGATTCCCAGTCAATGATTATTAGAAAACCACCTACAGAAAAAGCTGGCAGTCACCAAAGCTTGAGTTTTTCAAAAATTTGGGACCTGAAATATATTCCAAAACCTTACAGCAGAGGACAAGTTGCAAAGACTGATTCTTCAAGGACGGATGAAGATAAATCTCCTGGAAACCCATTTTCTTTTTCTCTTTCTTCATCCCAGACGAGTGGTTATTGGGAAACACCAAGGGGGTGTTACAGTGACTATAAAGAGACAAATGAATCTCCAGCAGTTGGGGCACAGAGTACATGGAGAGGGAGTCAATCAAGCAATTTTCTCAGCTCTACAAGTCGTCTGACTCCTCACGCAACATCAATCAGCAATGGCGCAAACACCCCCGTTATTAACACAAACCCAAGCGCAGAAAAACTGACATCATCCATCACAGATTCCCCCCATGGGCGAGACTCAATGAGCAACGGTCAGACACAAAGACACAAAAAGATGCAAGCGTATCTTTTCAAGGGCCCTGAGACCTCAGTTAATAGAGTTGTGGGAGATGGACGAGAGGCTTTAAGTGGACAAAGCAATGCTTTCATTACGTCAGATAATCAAAGGCCCTCTGATGTACCTGCTGCCAGCAGATTTGGATCCAGGTATTATAACACAAAAGATACAACCAAGCAAATTACTTCCAATCTGCCATATCATCATACTAGTGCGGCTCAGAATGATGAACAGATGCACAAAGATTTAAAAAGACCCATCTCCAGCTTAGTTCTTCCTCCTCACATCACAGAACAATCTTCCGATCTCCATCTTGCTCCAGTAAAAACGAAGAATATGGCAAGTTTTTCCCCTTCACCTCACATTTATTCCACACACGGGTATGCCACCAGAAGTGAGGAACCTCTTTCAGTCAGCAAAGTCAATGCAACTACAAGAGATTTGATGCCAATCCAAAAACCAGGAGGGGGCACACAAAGTATCTTTGGCTTCAAAGAGTTTAAAAATCCTGTGTGGCAAGCTGTAAAGAAGCCACGCGCTCTCACCTTTAAAGAACAGCCAAACTCCAAACTGCACAGCTTTGAGAACATGAAACATTATAAGTTTAAAATGTCAAATTTTTACCCTGCTCTGCTCCAAAGGTACAGTTTTGGCCAAAGAGGAGGATCTGCTACTACTACAATGCCACCGGTAATGTTGGAGAAAAACCCTGTAGTTTATTCTTCACCTTCACCCAGCACCTTAATCCCAGTCACAACACCCACGCTGTTTGTATCAGGGTTTATGCAAGTAATGACACCTAAAAGTGACCCTGGTGTGGACAGAAACCTCAACTACAGACAATTCAGAACCTACAAAATAACAAAAGCTCCAAAAAGATCCGACTCTCGACCACTCGAGGGAGCCAAACCTTCAGTTCAAGGACCGGACAAATCTGCCAGACTCCAGCAGGATCTTGATGGTATTAAAGTCGGACGTCGACAGACCTCAGAACCGAGAAGCTTCAGTGTTGACCTCAAACCATATTTAAAGACAGCAGAGGATTCTGTATTAGTCTTACCTGGTAAAAACAGCAGCAGACCCTACACTTTCCGGAGATTCAAGTCCTTAAAAAACACGACAGCACAGGCTCGCAACAAAATATGGTGGCAATACCCGATGCAAGATCCAGCATCAGCATCTTACATAGTCTCCTCCGCTTATTTGAGGTCAGCGGGGCGCCTCACTTTTGCATCAAAGCAAAAATCAGAGCTAAGGACACCCAACCAAAGCAAACCTGCTGAGATGAAGGCAACCCTGCTCCACACCTCCACCAGCCGCTCCGTGAGAGCCAAACACTCGAAGGCAAGACACAGAAACAGCAAAAAGCTTGGCGATTCTACATTCACCAATCACACTGTGGCCATAGTCAGGCTGCCCAAGCGCCCCGCCGAAGTTAAAGCCGTCACTTACACCGATGTTCTTGGAAGTGCTTCGTTCAGTGGTGTCATGGAAACAACAGAATCTCCTGACAGGCCAACTGATATGGATCATTTTCCAAACGTGACAGCTACGACCGAGCAAAAGAAAGCGATGAACCGTTCGAATTTAAACTCTGATGATGATGAGTACAGTGGAAAAAACATGACCAAGAACTCTGAGGAAAATACTGATAATGAGATGGGAGATTTCAGCGGCACAGAGAAAAACAAGGCGGATAAAAGCGAAAAAGCCGATTATGAATGGAAAAAAACAGATTTTTTTCCAGATAATGAGGAAAGCGGTGGCTCTGAAGTTTTATCAAGTGTAGTAGGAAGTCAGGCATTTACAAAAGATTTGCTAGAGATGGAGTACCTACGAACTTCTACTGAAAA